TTGTGAAACTGGGGTAAGTTCCCTTTTTTTTTTTTTTTTTTTTTTTTTTTTTTTTTTTTTTTTTTCCCAGCATGGACTTGCTGGGGAAGAGGCCTTCACTGCTCTTTTCATGACATTAATGTGAAAAATATGGTAATTTATATTTTAGTTTTGGAACTTCCTTAGCAATTTGCCTCTGCAGTGAGATGACAGGAGAATGTTGGGAAAATCTGTTTTCCTCTCCTGGAAACCACCTCCATCACCTGCCTGGACTCCTCTACCACGATAGTCACCCCTCTCTCTTGGGTGAAACACTTTGAACCTTCCCATTTCAGCCCAGCCCCACGTGGCATTCCCTGCAGGATGGAAGCATCCCTCATGGGGCAGGGGGGTTATGCCCCAGAAGGTTCAAGGCTGAAGCAGCTCATAGTCCCTCCATGTGAGGAAACATGACTCTTTGGTGGGACAGGGAGAGAAACCATCTGCGGATCAGGGAGGCCGCACTCATGCTCATGAAAGAAGAGAGGTTTGGGCTGCCCAGACCTTGGGAAGCGAAGTTCTTGATGGCAAATGGTTCTGGAGGCTCAGCAGAGGCCACGGAGAGAGGCAAAGGATTTGGGAATTTGGAGAAAAGGGCCTTGATGTTGGAGATGGATATTGGAGATGGAAAAGCAGAACTTCGGGAGGGAAAGTGAACTGCTGAAGCATGCTCTGCCAGAGCAAACTTTCCCCATGGGAGCACTGCTGCTTTCATGGCCCACAGGGTGAGCTTGGGTGCCCTGAGACCCAACAGAGCTCTAGTCCCTGCAGGGCCACCATTCCAAGGTCTTTGCTACCAGGAGCCACCAGAGTGGCTGCATGCCCTGCTGTCCCTGCTGCACTGGAAGATGGAGCCATGCAGATGCCACCAGGTCACAGGAGCTCCCATGCTTCCCTCCACCACCTCCAGCACCCTCCTCAGCCCCTTAAAACAGAGCTGGCTCCAGGGCCAAGGACCCCATACACAAGGTCCATCCTGAAGAGGCAAACCCAGCCCTGCCACCCGGGGGTGGCAAAGGGCAGAGCACCCGTCCCAGCTCACCCAGCTCCACGCTGCCTGCGGGAGCATTATGAAACGAGGACACAGGCCACTCCCCACTGGGCCTGAGGCACTCACTTCCAGCCTGGTATTTTCCTCCCCGATTTCTGTTGTGCTTTTTTTAAAAAATAATTTTTTTTTTTTTTTTTTTATTTTTTTTTTGTGCAGCCCCGAGGGGTGCGCGGCCGTGGGGGAAGCAGGGAGGTTATCAGCCTGGAGACACCAGCAGTGTGATCCACTGCCTGCAACCCCCCAGGCTGCTGCAGCAGGATGGGTGCCTTCCCCACCACCGCAATGAGGTGCTGTTCAGGGACCCCCATCACCTGGCCCATCCTCACTGCCTGCCCCAATTCCTGCTCTCCCACCTGACCATCGCTCTCCACGAGGCCCCCCAGCACTGGCACGGCCATTGGCATGGAATTCCCACAGGATGGATGGGAACTAGCATGCATCCAGCTGGGCAGGAGCCTTGCAAAGGTTTGGGGTGCCCTTGGGTGGTCCGCACCTCCTGCCTGTCTTCAAACAGTTCCTAGGGCTGTTACTATGAGATGACAGCAGAGCACCAAGTAGGCAGTACCAGGGGTCCCCCATTATCCTTCTGACACCCTGCAGAAGCAGAGAGCCCCAGGCAGCAGGAAGAGCAGGGCGGTGCACCCCAAAATACTGAGTGCTGTCTCCAATCCACTTTTATTCACAATCAGAAAATAACTTACCATACAATAACACAGGCACGCACAGCACGGCCCTGGGCACCCTCCCCACATGCTCTCCCAGATGGACTGGCACAGCT